ATATACTTCAAAATATCATTTCAGGCCAGGAGGGATGACTCATGTCTATAATCCTAACACTTTGGGAGGCTGAGGCTGAAGGATTGCTTGAAGCCAAGAGTGTGCGTCCAGTCTGAGCAAGAGCAAGATCCCATATCTACAAAAAATACAAAAATTAGCCAGGCATGGTGGCCTGGACCTGTAGTCCCAGCTACTCGGGAGGCTGAGGCAGGAGGATCGCTTGAGCGGGGTTTGAGGTTGCCGTGAGCTACGACGATGCCACGGCACTCTAGCCTGGGCAACGGAGTGAGACTCTGTCTCAGAAAAAGAAAATAATGTCATAATTCCACCACTTCAGTATGATCCAAATATTTTCTCTGCCCTAAAAATCCCATGTTCTCCACCTGCTTTTCCCTTTCTCCCTCCTCCCCAAATTCTAGGCAACTACTGATCTTTGTCCTGTCTTCACACTTAACGCCTTTTCCAGAATATCATATATTTGGAATCATACCCTGTATAGGCTTTTCGTACTGGCTTCTTTCACTTAGTGATAACATGTAACGTTTCTTCATGTCTTCCTGTGATTTGGTAGCTCATTTCTTTTTACTGCTGAATAATATTCCAGTGTACGGATGTATCACAGTTTCTTTATCAATTTGTGTGTTGAAGAACATCTTTGTTGCTTCCAGGTTTTGGCAATTATGAACAAAGCTGCTATAAAGATTTGTATATAGGTTTTTGTGTGGATATAAGTTTTCAACTCATTTGGGTTAATACCAAAGGGTATGATTGTTGGATCATTGGCAAGAATATGTTGAGCTTTGTAAGAAACTGCCAATATGTTTTCCAAAGTGGCTGTACCATTTTCCATTCATGCCAGCAATGAATGAGAATTCCTGTTGCTCCACTTCCTTGTTAGTATTTGGTGTTGTCATTGCTTGGAGTTTAGCCATTCTAATAGGTGTGTGTACTGGTTTTCTCTTTATCATTTTAATTTGAAATTTCTAGTGACATATGACATGGAGCATCTTTTCGTGTGCTTACTTGCTATGTGTACATCTTCTTTGGTGAGGTGTCTGCTCTGGTATATTTTGCCATTTTAAAATTTGGTTGTTTTTATTATATTGTTGAATTTTAACTGTTCTTTGCATACTTGGAATACAAGTTCTTTATCAGAAATGTGCCTTGCAAATATTGTCCCCCTCTGTGGCTTGTATTTTCATTGCCTGGACAATGTCTTTTGCAGAAGAGAAGTTATTTAATTCGGAGGAAATCAGACTTACTGTTTCTCTCATACACCCTGCTTTGGGTATTGTATCTAAGAAATCGTCACCACATCCAAAATTACCTCAATTTTCTCCTGTCATCACTTAGAGGTTTTATATTTTACCTTTAGGTCTACAATACATTTTGAGTTACTTTTTTTGGTGAAAGCTTCTAACGGGACATACACTACCTTGTTTGACAGTAGACAGGTGATTCTGAAACTCTTAGCTGCATCCCCACATCCATCAGTGAGAGCCCCACATTCAGAAACACATAACAGAAAATGTGCTCATTTTCTGCATATGTGTACACTCACAAGAACATGAATATATACTTCCATGCTCACATGCAAAGTCACACACATACACATGGCCATGTCCTAATCCAAAGTTCTCCCAGCATTCCCTGAAAGTGTTTCTCTCCATCACCCCTTTCATTGAGAGATATAATTCCTGTCCCTGGAATGACTCTGAATGGGACCCAATGGCCTTACCTGGTAGGGGCCACAGACAATGCTCTCTCTGGTGTTCAAGGCTGATGACAAAAGATAATGAATTTGTGACTCAAAAATGAGTGGACAAGAATGTGGGCATGGGACGGGACTTTTCAGGTTGTGTGATAATATACCAAGTTGGTAATTTGAGAAAAGGGTGACTTTTCCTAATCTTTCCAAAGAGCTGTGGGCACAGATCTGTGTTCAAGGACTTCCTGGGCACTGCTCTTCTGTGAGACCTCAGAGACAGACTTAAACTTTGTGAGGCTCAGCTTTGTCATGTGTAAAATGGGCATGAACACTGTTGCCCTTGGCCTAGGATTGTGAGCATTTAGCGAGGTGAACGTGTAACACCTTTAGCACGGAGCTTACACGGAGAACCTGCTATTATTATCATTGGTACCACACTGTAAGTCTTCCCTTCCTCTGATCCCATCACTGAAGCATCTATCAGGGTGAAATGATTCCGTTCCCCTCCTCCTTCAATCCACCTGGCCTTCCTTTCCCCGGCCCCCTTTCCATGACCCCGCCCCTCCTACTAGCCCCGCCCCTGCCCCACCCCTTCCTTTCATCCCACCCATGAGCCCTGGCCCCACACAGCCCTCCCTCAGCGAGGCAGGAAGCTCATGGTATGGTATGGTGGGATCCTAGTTAAGCCCACGTGCTTGGGGGATAGTCGATGTCCTCAGGCGACTGCAGGGACTTGAAGCGGAAGTTCTGCATGATGGTGATGAGGAAGAGAAAGAGCTCCATTCGACCCAGGCCTTCTCCTAAACAGAACCGTTTTCCTGAAGAGGAGACATGGAAGGGGAAGAGGTTAAGCCCACTCTCACTGCCTCCTCACCCCACTACTGACCTCCAGCTGCAT